TCATGCATCTCTCTGCTGCAAGGTCTGGGTGACCTATCAGTCCTTTCAGGGTACTTCTTGATTCAAAAAGCCTAAACTGGGCATGATGGTGCATACCTGTAAGCCCAGGAACTCAGGAAGCTGAAGAAGGAGGATCACAAGTTCAAGGTCAGCCTCAGCAACTTAGCAAGAACTTGCCTCAAAATAGAATAAAAGCTTATCATGTGTGAGGCCCTTGATTCAACCCTAGTATCACAAAAACAAAACAAAAAATAGATGTTACTGTCAATGATTGTCTGAATATCTCTAGTGAATAACAAAAAGCCTATTTTAAAAATAAAAGGTAATTAATAGTGATGACTTCTTTGAATGTATATTCATAGGCAAATGTCAGAGGCTTTTTAGAAGGTTTTGCATGTTGATTTTAAAATAATCTTCCTCTCTCTCTTTTTTCCAACTCTTTGTTTGCTTCTGAGCTAGTAAAAATAAAAACCTGTCATAGCTGGTAGCAAGAATGACAAAAAAGATTTCAGCTGATCTGAATTTCAGCCAAAGGAAGTGATCTTTTGATTCTAATTCTTGTCCAGGTGTCACTTCAGACTTTTTGTCATGTAATTAAGATAAAGGCCACTGAACAAATGAAGTGAATGTCAAAACACATAAGAACAAAATGTGTCTTATAGTGTCTGTGTTCTCCAGCGGGATTCCGGGTACATAGTGTTTTACATTATTTTCAATGCCTTCTGATATGTTGGAAATATCTCAAAATAACAAAAATAAAATGAAAAGACATGACTTCCCAGCATTTATTTATTTCCTTCTTTTGTGGCTCTTCTGACTACTATTACCTCCACCCCTGGGTACAGTGTGTGTCCCTGGGATTGGAGAACCATTTTGGGTGTGGGCAGTTAGAAGGAAGGAGGGTTGGAAAAGGTTGACCTATGGGTACTCAGTTATAGTTAGGTACGAGAAAGAACTTCTGTCGTTTTATTGCACAGTGACAATGTACTAAATTTAATTAAAAAAAAAAAAAACTCCAAAGAATTTTTTAATGTTTTCTGCACAACTGACAAATGTTTGAGGAGATGGGTTTACCTTGACTTGAATATCATACATTATGTTCATTTATCCAAACGTTACATGGAACCCAATAAATTTATACCATTTCATGCATCCATTAAAATTTTTATTTTGCATTGTTTTATTCACTTAATGGTAATTTTTTTGGGTAAAAGGAAGCACGACTTCATTAAAAACATGTATCATTCATAAAACACATACTAATTTCAGCATAAGAAAAAGCATGTACCTTAGACTTGAGATGTGACACTATGGTGATTGACCTTAATTGTCATGTGTCAGGAAAACTCAAACTCCATTCACACGTGGGAGATGAAGTGGCAGTGGGATCCTTCCTCTTCAGCCTAAGCAAGAGCCTAGTGATTTCCACTTGAGTTGTCCATTTTTTTCTCCCTTCCTCCCATTTCTCTCAAACCCAAATAACCCCCCCCCAAATTAGCCACCATGAAGCAGTGGTCTGTCAAGAGTGGAGACTCTGATTTCAGCTCACCTGGTTCTTGAGGAGTAGATCAGCACAATGGTGAGGAGCTGAGACTGGCCATTGCCCCAAAGTGCTCTGTGACCCTGAGCTGGCCACTCACCAATCTGTGATTCACTGGTTTCATCTTCCTCTGTCAAATGGGGATTATGATAGCACTCACTCACAGGATTGCAAAAAGGATTAAATTAGTAAAATAAAAAAATAGTTTATAAAAATGTTTTATCAGGGTCTGGGGTTGTGGTTCAGTGGCAGAGTGCTTGCCTAGCATGTGTGAGATATTGGGTTTGATTCTCAGCACCACATATAAATAAATAAAATAAAGACCCATTAACAACTAAAAAATAATATTTAAAAAAGAGTCTTTTAAAAATGCTTTATCAAAGTTGACTAATTATTAATTCTAATTGCATGACATTGGGAAAGGTTTTTAGAAAGTTATTTTGTCTCTTTAAGCCTTGGTTTTCTCAATTATAACATAAGTATAATAATATTGTTTACTTTATAAAGCTAGGGGAATTCAAAGAAGTATTAGATGTAATGTGCTTAGTAAGATGTTGGGCAAAATCTTAGAAAAGGCAGTGATTATTTTCATCATGTATAGCAATGCCAGGAAGCGGTCTGCCTGTGTCTCACACCTGTGGCCTGGGGATATAGCTCAGTGGTAGAACACTTGCCTTGCATCTGCAAGGCCCTGGTTACAATTCCTAATACTGGAAAAACAGAATAAAAAACCCCACGTGTCTCGTACATGCATATATCTCTGCTTGTCCAGTTTCTGTCCTCATAAGTCAACCTAAATTTCAATTTAATGTAGATGATTCTGTTAATTCCTGCTCTGGAATCTAGAACGTTTGCTATCATTGATTGAGTCCCATGCAGGTCCTTTTGAAAAAATCATCCCATTTAATCTTTTTTTTTTTTTTAAAGAGAGAGAGAGAAAGAAAGAGAGAATTTTTTAATATTTACTTTTCAGTTTTCAGTGGACACAACATCTTTATTTTATTTTTATGTGGTGCTGAGGATTGAACCCAGCGCCCTGCAAATGCCAGGCAAGCACATTACTGCTTGAGCCACATCCTCAGCCCACCCATTTAATCTTTATGATTTTTTCAAGGTTCATACTATTAATATATGATACCATCTGCAAAGACAGACCATTTTTAGCTCTTTCTTTCCAATCTGGATGCCTTTTATTTTATCTTATTACATAATTGTCATGGCTAGAATCTTCAGTATCATGTTAGATAGAAATGGTAAGAACAGATATTCTTTAATTCCTGATCTTAAGAGAAAGCATCCAGTCTTCTATTGAATATGATGCTAGCAATTGGTTTTTCTTAGATGTTTTTCTCAGTCTGATGAAGTTCCTTCAATTCCTAGTTTTTTATTATTATTATTATTATTATTATTATTTTTATTATTATACCGGAGATTGAACTCAGGGACACTCAACCACTGAGCCACAACCCTAGCCCTATTTTGTATTTTATTTAGAGACACGGTCTCACTGAGTTGCTTAGCACCTTGTTTTTGCTGAGACTGACTTTGAACTCGAAATCCTCCTGCTTCAGCCTCCCTAGCTGCTGGTATTACAGGTGTGCACCACCCCGCCCTGCCTATTGAGTATTTTTATGATGAATTTGTCAAATGCTTTTTTTCTGCATTATTCAAGATCATCATGCAGTTTTTGCTTATTCAATTTATATGATATTTTATGATAATATATCTTCAGATGGTAAACAAACCTTGAAACACTAGGATGAATTCCAGTTTCAACATCACATATAATTCTTTTTAGGTTTCTACTTTCAACTTGCTGGTATTTTGATGAGAATTTCTGCATCTATTTCATGTGATATACCGGTTTATAGTGTTCTTATAGTGTCTTTGATTTTATTGGCCTCATAGGAAGAGTTAAGAAGTATTCCTTCCTCTTCCCTTTTAGGGGAATAGTTTACGAAAAACTGGAGTTAATTTTTTGCTAAACATTTTATAGAATTCACGAGTGAAGACAGCTGTGCCTGGACATTTCATAGAAGGTAACTTTTTAATTACTAATTCTCTTCTCATAGGTCTATTCAGATTTTCTATTTCTTCTTGAATATATTTTAGTAGTTTGTGTTTCTTTAAGAATTTGTCCATTTCATCTTACTTATCTAATTTATTGAAACAATTGCTTAAACGATTCCTTTATAATCCTTTTTCCTCTCTAAGATTGGAAGTAATGTCCTTGTTTCATTTTTGATTATCATTTTGTATCTTTGAATCAAAAATGTTTTCCCACTTGACAGTATATAATTGGGTTTTTAAAATGTTGTTTGATTATCTCTACATTTTGGTTGGGGTTATTTAATCCATTAACATTTAATATTATTATTACTATAGTCCAAATTACACCTGCCATTTTTCTTTTATTTTATGTCTCATGTCTTTTTATTCCTCTGTCATGCTTTTTCATTTAAGTAAATATTTCATAATGTACCTTTTTAATTTAAAAAATTTTTTTTTAGTTATAGCTGGGTCCAATACCTTTATTTTGTTTATTTTATGTGGTGCTGAGGATCAAACCCAGTGCCTCGCACATGCTGGGCAAGCGCTCTATCACTGAGTCACAACCCCAGCTCCATAATGTACCTTTTTTACTTCTTTTTATTTTGGGCATGCTTTGGGATTGAATTTAGAGTCTCATGTATGCTAAGCACATCCTCTACCACTGAGCTACGCCGTCAGCAGTCCATTTTATTAATGACTGACTACATTCTTTTGGTTGTTTCCTTGGTGGTTGCTCTAGGACTTACAATATACACCTTGACTTATGAGAATTAGCTTCATATTTGTGTTAATTAAATCCCATTAGATCTAGAAATGTTATATCTATGTAGCTCTATTCCCCTTTATTGCTTTCTGTAGTATGATTTTATATCTATAAAGATACATATTTTATCCATAAATGTACAAATTCAACAATATATTACTATAAAATTATATAATTATATCTTTTAAAGAAGCTGAGAGAGGAAAAGAGGACAAGTATTTACTTTTTTATATTAATCTTACTTTTTTATCATTGCTGGTTCTTTTCATTTGCTCTGTAACTTTCAGTAGCTATCTGGAGTCAGTTTCATAGTCCAATACAGTTTTGTTCTCACCCACATCCTTTGGGATGTTATCAGCAACGATATTACATTTTTTATAAGTCCAACAATATGATTTTAACAATATTATCTATTATAATTGATTTTTATACAAGTGAATGGAAAGGGGAATAAATATGCATTTATATTGTCATATAAATACATAATTAAAAAATTTTTCCATCTGATTTTATTTCCAAATACATTTTCTTACTTTTCTGTGAGATGACAAATATCAGTATCAGGATATCCAACTATACAAAAAATACTACGCATAGTCTGGGATAGATATATTTATTTTTGATAACATACATTAAGTGGCACTAATCACACAATAACCATAAGGTAACTAACATGAAACCACAGAACTTTAACTCTGCCACAGCTGCATGGACTTGGGACTTTCTGGCTGAGGACATTTTCAAGAAACTGGGTGCCCACCCCAGAGACAGGCCAATGAAATCTGCTGAGGAGAGAAACCTCCAAAGGGAATGAGTCACCAGAGTTCTTCACAGGGGACAGGTGATAGGCAAGACATGCGAGTTGTAAAGTAGTTACAGTCACAAAAGTTGCCAGTTCTTCTTTCTAGAAAGAAGCAAGACCTTTAAGAAATTCCTTGAATTAGTGCCTGGTGTGTCAGGTGGAGTGCAGAGAGGGCTGTTAGAGCAGCGGTTAGAAGGACCCTGGCAGGTCAGACGTTAGGTTGGATATCCGTAATAATCACGGTTGGCTTCTAAATACCGATTTGTAATCCGAGGTAAATTAGAGATAAATGGAAAAGGTCAGGAATCATGCATGAAGATGAATAAACAGCACTGGGAAATCAACCGCCTGAGGGCGTGCTTGCAGCGAGACTTCACAAGACAAGGCACCCAGATTTTTTCTTCCCGCGTCGGACTTGCAGAGCAGCTCTCGTGGCCATCACAAAAACCTCCCTCACTCCGTCTTTGGTCTTTGCGGAACACTCCAGGTACCCGAAGGCGCGGATCCTGTTGGCCATATCTCTGCCTTCTTCGGGTTTCACGGGCTCCTGCTTCATCTTGGCCAACTCCCTCCGCGTGTGCTCATCGTTGCGAAGATCCTTCTTATTCCCAATCAAGATAATGGGTACGCTGGGGCAGAAGTGCTTGACTTCTGGGGTCCATTTTTCTGAGATGTTTTCCAGACTCTCAGGGCTGTCGATGGCGAAACACATCAGGATAACGTCGGTGTCCGGGTAGGAGAGGGGCCTCAGGCGGTCGTAGTCTTCCTGCCCCGCCGTGTCCCACAGAGCCAACTCCACCTGCTTCCCGTCCACTTCGATGTCCGCCACGTAGTTCTCAAACACCGTGGGCATATAGGCTTCTGGGAACTGGTCCTTGCTGAACACTATGAGCAAGCATGTCTTGCCACATGCTCCATCCCCAACGATCACCAGCTTCTTCCTGAGGGCAGCCATGGTCCTGGGGGGAACCCGGGGTGTTAAAGGACTCTCTTGCTTCTGTCGTTCTCCATTTCGGGGTCTGGGGGAGTTGGACGACCTTCCTGGGTCTTGGCCACTTATCCTCTTTGCATCCCCATCATCATGCGTCCAGTTCAAATTCTCAGGAAGGCTTATTTTTTTTTTTTTTTTTTTTTACAAACGTGCTGTAAAGTGCACGGACTGTGTGACAGAAGTTGTACAAAGTACCTTGAACTTTCCTGATGAAACGTTCAGAGGACTCTTTGTGCAGCCGCCGAGATCGCCTGTCGGAGGAGAGTCTGGCCCAGCCAGAGACTGAAGGCGGGTAGCTCCGGAGGCAACAGCGTAATAACGGATGGCGGCCGGCAGGGAGCGCGAGCGAGCAGGGCCGGTGGGCAGAGGAGGGCGGGAGGGCGGGGAGCGCTGCGCGCGTCCCGGGCGCCAGGGGGGGCTCGAGCCCCATAGGGATGTTTAGTAATTAGTTTTTAATACACCTTTATACCACAATTTAGCAAATCTGTTTGTATATGAGGTATGTTGACACCAAATTCACATCTTCATACATGAATTTTGTATAATGATGACCGTCTCCTTCCACTAAGAATTGCAATGCAAAAAAAAAAATTATGAATGTAATGCACTCCTCTATTGTGATGTATGTAAGAAATGAATGAATGAATGAATAAATAAATAAATAAATAAATATCAGATGAATCTTATCTAACAATAAAAAAAAGTAATTAGTTTTTAGCCCTTAGGTTTTTTTGTGTGTATTAGAATGATGGTGCCTTGCTTTCAGCTTGAGGTCTTAAGTATTTCTTGTAAAGTAGGTCTGCTAGCAACGTGTTTTCTAAGTTTTTGTAAGAGAATGCGCTTGGTTTTGCTTTGTTGAGGATAAGATTCTTATCATTAACAACTTCTCCCTCCCCCATTTCTTTTGGCTTCTTTTTCAAATTTATGTTTTAATTGACAAAATAGTGTATATCTATGTTGTGCAACATGTATGCTCTGTGGAATGGGAAAATTAAACTAATTAGGACATGCATTACCTCATAGGCTTACATTTTTTTTAATGGTGAGAATGCTTAAAATCTGCTTTTAAAAGGAACTTGTAAGAATACAGTACATTCATGTTATCTGTAGTCATCATATTGTAAATAGTTCTCTTCAATTGATTCCTCCTAACTGAAGGTTTCTGTTCTTCAACATCTCCCCAAGTCCCCCTCCAATGTCCCAAGCTCCTGAACCACCCTTCAACTCTTTAATTCTATGAGTTCAATTTCAGTAGATTGTTCAATTCCACGTATAAGTGAGATTATATATTTGACTTCCTGTGCCTGGTTTATTTCATTTGACTCTCCATTTTGATCTGTGTTGTAGTGGATGACAACATTTCCTTCATTTTTTAGGGTATTATGTATACTATGCATGCATACTAGATCATTTTTTTATGAGAATTCCGCTATAATCTTGTATGGGTCCTTTTCCAGGTATGGTTTCAACATTTCCTCCTTGTTCTTGGATTTCAGCATTTTATTAAAAACGTGTCTGTTGTGGTTGTTCTCTTTGTATTTACTCTCCTTGAAGCATCTGAGCTTCTTGAATGTGTAGGTTAATGTTTTTTCTTTGGAGAGTTTTCAGCCATCACTACTTTCCATATTTTTCTGTCTTCTCCTCTGCCATTACCATTGCATGTATGTCAATGTGTTTAATGCATTCCATATATCTCTGAGGCTTTGTTCACTTTCTTAAATTCTTTCTTTTTTCTGTTCTTTGGCTTACATAATCTTTATTGATCTACCTTCAAATTTGCTTATTCTTTCTTCTTCTTGCCCATATCTATTGTTGAGCCCTCTAGTTAAATTTTCATTTCTGTTATTATTCTTTTCAGCTCTAGCATTTTCATTCTGTTCACTTTTGAGACTCCCATCTATTTATTGAGGGTCTCTGTTTGATGAGGCATTACCAACATACTGTCTTCAGTCATGCTTTCCTTTAGTTATTCTAACATATTTACAATGGGTTCTTTGAAGTCTCTCTCTGTTAGATCTCACATCTGCACACTCTCACAGGCAGGCTGTATTTTTTTTCTTTTTAAATGTGTATGAACCAGAGATTTGGTTTCTTTACATGTCTCATAATATTTATCCTGGAAACTAGATATTTGGGTAATATGTTGTAGCAACTCTGCTTCTTACTGGTTCCTCCTCAATCTGGTGTGTATTACAGACATTGCTCATTTATTTATTTAGTGACTGGCTGGATTATTTGAGGTCAGTCTAGCAGGTATTCCTCACAGTATGAAGCCTGGGATATTGCTCATCAGGGGTGCCAACCTGGGTATGCCCACATCACTGTGAGATGACAGTGCTTTGGGCAGGCTTTCTTTGTCTGCTCTGACCATATCCAGATGTTAAGCTCTCCTAATTGCCAGCTGACTGCCCTATTGGCTTCAACAATGCTCTTTGAAATAAGCTGCTCCACACACCAAACCAATCAAATGTTTATTTCTGAAGATCAACATTTGAGATTTGTTCTGATCCCAGGACAACTTTACCAGTCTTTTCCCTTGGTTATCTCTGGTAAACTAGATAGCCTTTGGTGTAGCATTTACAGCTGGCTCTTCCTGTTCACAGGTTCTGCACCTGTTAATTCCACCAACTACAAATCAAAAATATTTGGAAAAATTGTATCTCTACTGAACATACACAAATATTGTTTTCTTATCATTATTCCCTAAACAATACAATATAACAACAATTTACATGGCATATACATCATATTAGCTATTATAAGTAATCTAGAGATAAGTTAAAGATGAGGATGTATGTAGGTTATATGCAAATACTATATCATTTTATACAAGGAACTTGAGCCTTTGCAGGTTTTGATTTCAGAAGGGGCTCCTGGGATTGTCCATGGAGAGCAAGGGACAATTGTATTACTAATGAATCTACTGGTTTCCTTGCTTGTTTACTTGGTGACCTCCCTTGGTTTGAAGAGCACCAGTAGACTTGAAACTCCTTACACACTTTTGTAAATAAAGTCAATTCCTTTGAGAAGATCTCTAGCTTGCCTCTTATTCTGGAAAAAGCCTCTGAGCCATGGTTCTGGAAATGACATTTCTGCCTTAGAAGCTAGAGCTTGGCAAGGGAGATAGTGACTTTGTATCTTTTCAGTTTTTTTAATCCATGTATGGAATCTCTGCTTTGTGCATGGAGATAGGCTGGGGGCAATCTGGGCCCCAGTATTCTCAGTATGTCCCTCTCAAAATAGAGCCCCATAAGTTGGGGCCAGGTGGAAGAACAAAGCCCTCATCTCTTAGATGTCTCCTTTCAGAACTTAGCCTCTACCATAGGTTGCTAGAGGCAGGATAAGAAATGCTGGCATCTTGCCCTTTCCCAAGGGAATACTTCTGCCCTTTAACATATGATAGAGGGAGAGTGGGCTCTGTGTTCTTGGCTACAGCTTCCTGGAGTAGAGTTTCCATTACAGTGGAAGGAGACAAAGGTGGTCATGGTTCAAATGCCATAGATTCTTGCTGTTCTCATGGAGTTTTAGTGAATGAATGTTTCTTCATTTGCTGCTTACCTTTAGGACCATTTTAAATAGTTGATTTCGAAAAATTTTTTACTAATACCACTGTAAAGTGATCCCTTGATATCACTTTTTATTTTTGCCAAAACTGAAATGCCTATTCTCTTAAGTCTTCAGTTTTTTTTAACTGAAGCTCTACTTACTGAAAGATTCAAATTCATTTTCAATAACTATTGTGGAATAAATTGTGCTCCACTTCAGTCAAATGCTGAAGTCCAAACAGTACCTTAGGTCTTGACTATTTGAGATAGGGCCTTTAAACAAGTGATTAAGTTAAATGAGGTCATTAAGATGAGCCTTAGCTGGGCACAGTGATGCACACCTATAATCCCAGTGACTTAGGATGCTGAGGCAGGAGGATCATGAGTTCAAAACCAGCCTCAGCAAAAGTGAGGCACTAAGCAACTCAGTGAGACCCTGTCTCTAAATAAAATACAAAATAGGCCTGGGGATGTGACTCAGTGGTTCATTGTGGCCCCTGAGTTCAATCCTGGTACCCCCCCCATCCCAAACACACACACTAAAAAACAAAAACAAAAAAAAACATGAGTTGTGTGTTTTTAAGAAAAGGAAGAGACACACAGGGATGTGTCTGCACAGAGAAAAGGCCACATGAGGACATGAGGAAAGGTGGCCATCTACATGTCTAGGAGAGACTCTTCTGGAGAGCCCAAACATGCCAATATCTTGATCTTGGACTTCTAACTTCTGGGATTGGGGGAAAATAAATTTCAGTTTTTTAAGCCTCCCAGTCTCTGGTATTCTGTCATGTCAGCATGAGGAAAATAATGCAACACTGTGATATTACTTTTTTGCATTAATGTGTTTCTCCAAGACTAGGCCAGTACCATCCCACTCTTCCTCATTATCCCAAAAAGCAAAACAAAACTAAGACAAGTCCTGGCATTACCCCTTAAACCTCAGTGAGCTTTGAAGTCATAAAAGGTATTTCTTCTTTCAGGGGCGTGTGTGTGTGTGTGTGTGTGTGTGTGTGTAGTAATCCTCAAAATTAGCTCACTTTTCTGCAAATTTGGTTGTGCTATTAAGATTGTGGAGGGTTCAAAACACTAATAATGGAATCATCATATGACCCAGCTATACCATTCCCTGGTATTTATCCTAAACAATTTAAGTCAGCATACTGTGGGACACATGCAGAATAATTCACAATAGCCAAACTAGGGAACCAGCCCTTCGTGTCCATTAACAGATGCATGGATAAAGTACACATACCCAGTGGAGTTTTATTCAATCATAAAAGAGAATGAAATTATGTCATTTTCAGGAAAATGGATGGAACTTGAGACCATTATTTTAAGTCAAATAAGCCAAACTCAGAAAGTCTAGTGCCATGTTATTTCTTATTTGTGGAAGCTAGAAAGGAAAAAATAAAAGAAAGATGTGTGTGGGTGGGATGAAAATAGACAAGAGTTCATTAGCGTAGCAAAAAGGGAGAGGAAAGGGGAAGGGCTGAAAAGTGAGATTGACCAAATTATATTGTTATATTGTGTGCATGCATGAATATGTAAGAACAGATCTCACCATTATATGTACGACTATAATCTACCAATAAAAATATAGACAATACAAAAATTAAAACCAGAAAAGAATTCCAAACTATAAAAGATTGTGGAGGTTTGTTAACTCACTATCTCCCCTGTATACATTATACTTCT